TTTTCTTAGTACCAACTGAGCATGGTTTAAACACCACAGCCTACCTGAGTATTGTTGCTGAGCGTGTCCATCCCTTTATGACCACAGTGTACCCATCTTCTGATGGCTACTTCCAGCAGGATAACGCACCATGTCACAAAGCTCACATCATCTCAAACATGACAATGAGTTCACTGTACTCCAATGGCCTCCACAGTCACCAGATCTCAGTCCAATAGAGCACCTTTGGGATGTGGTGGAACGGAAGATTCTCATCATGGATGTGCAGCCAACAAATCTGCACCTTGTTGAATCTATGCCACCAAGAATTAAGGCAGTTCTGAAGGCGGAAGGGTCCAACCTGATACCAGTAAGGTATACCTAACCTGTTTTCACCAAACACTTTCGGTATGGTACCTTTGGAGTCAAAGGTAACCCTTCAGACATGGTACCTATGGTACCTCTTAAATGTGGGCGGAGTTCTTGTCACTCACTGCTCCGTCCAGCACTCCCTGTATTTCAACCTTTATCAGTCTGCACCTTGTTTATCGTCCACAGCCCGGAGTTATGTGCCAACATTTTCAGAACACAATAGAACAGGCTGCAGTGAGAGTCTCTTTTGATTGGATACTTTAAAATAGTGGGTTTGTGCATTTAGTCCTTCTCAGGCAAGCTCATGGGTTTAGTGTTGCTGTAGCCCACAGGAACAATGCTCCGCAACGTCTTTTTTCCTTCCGAGTGAGGATTGGGTTGTATGCCGTCCCGATCGAAATTAATTTATATAAACACTTGAAGATCTACTCATTACTAAAAGTGTATGTCATATAAAAACTTAAGTGATGGTCAGAGTTGTCACAGTGAAATTTAAGGTGTATTGATGGATTCATGTCGTCAACTCATACATTAGCCCTTTTTAAATAGGAATTGTGCAAATTTTCAGGAAAGCCCAATCAGTCTTTTTCAGCATTGGCAGTATAAAAACAAAATCGGGGAGTGCAGCAAAATGCCGCCTACCTACTTTTGTTAATACAGAATGTGCCTTTTTCGGGGCAATGGGGGGCGTGAGCAAGTAACAAAACGTGTAGCTCAGCGTGTGACGTAAACAGTGACGTACTCCAAGGGAAGCTGTGGCTGGTCAGTCCTTTGGCGATTCTCTCATAAGTTGGCCCGTTCTTCACCGTCCCAGTCATCTGGCGGTTAATGGCCTCTTTGTTTGCGAGGGCAAGGAGGGCGCGCAATTCCTTGTCTCCCCAATTTTCAGTTTCTGTTAGTCCACTGCCTGTGGGCCACACGTGCAGTGTTCTCAACAGCTCCTCCCATGATGGAAGGGCACCTTGTTCTTTTTAAACCAAAGGGGTTCTGCCAATATGACTACCCTACGAGGTGAAAATTGGGCACCTCAGATCAACTCGCCAATCCGGCTTTGTGTGTCTAAACGCTCACAGCTTGCCGGGAAAAAGGCCTAATATTCACGGAAAATCTGGCAGTGTAAAAGAAGCTATTGCGTAACATTACAAGTTAACGTTCCACCTTAAAAGTCACCGGCAGTCGGCCCAGTGAATGAAGTTATTTTTTCTCTGACTCCAGCTGCTGTGAGAGGCAGCAACACAACCTTTATTTTACAGTTACAGTTTACTATTGAAACTCTCCACAGTATGAACAGTGGTTACATGAGCCTCAAAACCAGCCACAACTCAGCCCTGAGCAGAGTGACCGTCCTCTACTAACCAATCAGACTGCAGTGTTCACAGCTCCACCTTTTAGTACCAGATCTGTGTGCTAGGTACCCCAACAGAGGGGGACCAAACATGGGGACTGTACGGAACGGTTCTATTGGTACCATCCACAACTTTTCACAGTGGAAACGTGAAAAAAAGCGCACAGAACTGAACTGAGTGTAGGCCTTTAATAATATAATTTATGGAAGTACCGAAGTACAATACTTTCAGTAAATGTTGCTGTTAATACTATTTGTCGGTGAAGATTCTCAGTCATCCAGGTCATGGTAATCCTAAGTGCTATATCGTAGGCAACTGGACTTGCTTGCGTTTTTTGACGACGTTTCGCCTCTCATCCAAGAAGCTTCTTGAATTCTAAATGACTGGTACCAAGTTGCAGGCTGAACCCTGTGCAAGCGCATGCAACTTGCATGAGAGGCGAAACGTCGTCAAGAAACGCAAGCAAGTCCAGTTGCCAACGATATAGCACTTACGACGTTAATACTTTTGTATTTTTTGTTAAATAAAATCTTGACTGAATCTTGCTACTTTCACTTAAGTAAAAGCAAAGGTGATCAATGTGCAGAGGCTACACTTCCCTCAACCCATGAACCCCACTTTATCAGAAGGAAATGTGCTTTTTACTCTGCTACATACACGATGTTTAAAGTTACTAAATACGTTACAGATTTACTTTCCATCTAAGAGCTTCTTCCATCCTTGCAGTCTGTTAAAATAAGGGCCAGCTGCAGCGTGTCAGTAACTGCAAACAGTCAATAATTGCCTGAAAACAAGGCTGACTCGCTGGTGAACTGTCGAGGCACACTGCACGCAGCATGACTGTACTGTACTTTACTGTTCCGGCTTCACCCTTCACGTTGTGCTCTGCAACGTGACCGCTCTGTTACCATTCCTCTGTTACATCCACGAGGCGCTTGGCTCCGCCCTCCGGTGTCCTGAAAGTGTGTCACTGGGTTAAAGTGGCTCGAGCGCCCGGGCGGAGGGGCGGGGCCGACAAATGGGTCACATGGGCGAGCCCACTATTGAGAACATTTCGTTCTCTTGACTAACCCGCAGTCACACACAACAAGGGGGGAGTTCCTCCGAGCCAGACGCATCACTTCGACCTGTTCTCTCCGGGAGAGTCGGACCTGCAGATTATTTCCCCGCAGCACACTCATGAGATGAGCTCCATCTTTAAACTGCTCTCACTCAAACAGCAAGTTTAGTCTGCGACCTTTTCCTTTTTATGTTTTAATTCGTGACAGTGGCAGAAGTCGTGACAGACAGTTGAGTTTAGTTGAATTATCTGTTGGAGATTTTCCATCCTCGAACAGAGATGCCTGAGGACATCGGCACAGCCAAGCCTGGTAAGAACACAATATTTCATATATTAATAACTGCTGCACTGAAACACAGAGGATGTAATGTTGTAACTGCATGCACTGTGCACACACTCTGCTGCAGTGATGTTAACATGTAAGGAAATGACGCACCTCGAGAGGCTCCAAGTCATTCTTAAAAATCATTTTACGCACGTATAATTCGAGTTTATTTTGCGTTTTGTGTTTATTATGGAGAGGAAACTCAGAGGGTATTGGTGGCATGAAGGTATGAAACACATAAGTTCACTGAATGCATCATACTTTAAATAGATCAAGTGTTTCATAAATGAATGAGTCCTGTCACTGAAACTGTTCGTTCCTGGCTGTGGTGCAGCATCATACCGTCCTCTCTGGGTCACAGGGTGTTGACACATTTTTAGAAATTATTATATTTCATTGTCATGTGCATTAAGATGAATTAGAGTGTTAATCCTGCCCAGAAATAGTGTTTAATAATCGGGGTTAGGAGTGCCAGTGCGCCGCCGCGTCCATTTCCATTTGACACAACAACAGTGTTTAACTCTCACATGGACAGCGTAGCCTAGCCATGTGCCCGTGTGTACACGCTTCCCTGGTACACTCCTCTGATTGGTCGAGGGGCGGTCCTCTGCGAGCAGCACGCGTCAGTTGGAGCTCTCCTCTGATTGGCCGGAGCTGGGCCCGTGACGCAGAACGTTGCATAATCCACGCTGTACACAGCACTCCCGGCGCGAGGCTGGACCGCGAGGTACACGTGAGACGGTGGAGACACAGCAGCCACTGACCTAGATTTTTTTCTCTGCCTGCTCCCTCGCGCGTCGCTTTCACAGAAATTCATGACAGGTCCACGTGTGGGTGGGCCGTGAAGGAGAACAGTCATGGTTGAGGGTTAGGTAATCATCTGCTGTGGCCTCCAGAGTTGGGGTTTTATTTTGAGTTTTTACACAAATATTCCAGTGATCTTTTTTTTTTTTTTTCTTAAATGGAAACTGACTGCACATGTTTGGTATTTTACAAACTGCACCGGCCTACTTTGAGTCACTTTAATTGCAGTTGCAGTGCCTTGCCCAGGGGCACTTAGATGACACAACTTAAAGTCATTTTTCCTATTTCTAATAATGACTCACATGTCTCTGAGAGATCCCGTCTCCTCGCTCCAGACTACCTGTGCACCAAATTTTAAAACCCAAACTCTTTAAATCCAAGCAGGCATTCTTTGGCACCACATATCATTACATAACCCACCAGTTGATGTTTTCCCTTTGCGTTCTGCTTTCCCACAACTGTTATGTTGCTCCACTGATTCAGTGACCCTGTCTGGAGCACCCTCCCATGGCATAGAGACCCATGTATGTTATGTAATGGTGTTATCCAACCAGTAAGCAGCACTGGAGGTGATAAAGCAGGTCATTCTTAACACAGTAGATAAAACCAGACAGGAAACACACAATGTAGGCTGCTCTGCTGTTGAGGCGTGTCACAGGCCCGAGTACTCACTGTACTGGCCAAGAATCCATTTGGCAAACAGGATATTTTGTTATAATTATTATTATCACTGCAGTTAAAGTCCTCTTATCATCACTGGGTCACAGCACCCTTGGCAGGCTTGATGCGTAGTAGGGGTGAAAACATTCCTTTGGCGGCTGCTAATGTCTCAGAAATAGATTAACACGAAAACAAGATGTCACATGTCCACAGAGAGCAGATGTAGCACTGTGCAGTAGTTTATTCGCTTTTTAAAACAGTTGAAATTATTCGTGCATAATAAGCAACAACGCCCAGGTACGTGGATATAGGGTGTATCTAATACTATGTAATTATTGACAGCCATGAAAGAAAGAAAAGTAATTAACCTGCTGTGATGTCACCGTCTCTCCCTCTCCACAGGAGGAGTCATCGCCTATATTTCCTCTGGCTCCGCCTCCAGCCCAGAGTCCTGTATGAGCACCAGCCCCAGCAGCAGCTACCTGTCGACATCACAGTCGGTGTCCCGCCCCGCGCTGCCCAGCAGAGCCGTGGGCATGGTGGTGGATATCTCTCCGCCGGCCAAGAACGGCCAACAGCGCGGCCACGGCATGGAGAAGGCCGGGCGCTCCTCTACATCTGCCAAGAGCAGCATCACCAGTGAGTACAGCGTTAAAGTCGCATTGTCAAAATACTGTGCTACTGAGAAACATGTCGCACATCTGGTTTCAGACACACTAGTCACAGCTCATCTTTGTCTTTGCAGAAATTAACGGCATGGTGCTGTTGTGTAAAGTGTGTGGAGACGTGGCCTCGGGCTTCCACTATGGCGTCCACGCCTGCGAGGGCTGCAAGGTGAGACAAGTTCCCAGAATTAAGTGTTGCGTCTCTGCACGTTTGATTCATGGCCTCTTGCTGACTTTACACACTGACGTGACCAATGCTGCTCGTGGCGATCTTATAGGGGTTCTTCAGGAGAAGCATCCAGCAGAACATCCAGTACAAGAAGTGTCTTAAGATGGAGAACTGCACCATCATGAGGATCAACAGGAACCGCTGCCAGCAGTGTCGCTTCAAGAAGTGTCTGGCTGTCGGCATGTCCAGAGACGGTGAGCAGTACTTTCAGTTTAATTACTCAGCTGCCGTCATTCACTTCTTCTCTTTGGTGCTCCTTAAGTGTCGTTAACCTTGAGACAATCTAATGGCCGTTATTTTACTCCCAGCTGTCAGATTTGGCCGCATCCCAAAGAGGGAAAAGCAGAGGATGCTGCTGGAGATGCAGAACGCCATGAACAACATGATGAGCAACAACAGCCAGCTGCACAGCATGCTGCACGGCCAGCAGAGCCCCTCACTGCCCATGGAGGCCATGACCAGCGACCCCAGCTCCTCGCCCTCCTCTTCCTCCTCCTCTGCTTCCGATTCCCCGTCGTGCTCCAACCCCTCCTCCCCGCAGTGCCCCCAGGACTCAGAGTCCGTGGTTTCCATGGACACCAACTCCAGCTCCGCCTCGTCCTGCGGATCAGACAGCGGCGAGGACGAGGCCGTCGTCACCGTGAGCCGGCAGCACCAAGATGCCTTCGCCTACAGCCAGAAGAGGTCGCCGAGACAGGGCCAGGCCTCGCCCTCGTCGAGCGCGGTCGCCCTGGAGACAGGGTGTGACAACCGCATGGAGGAGCAACAGGAGAGCTGGAGCTGCTGGAACAACAATGTGGATGTGGGAGGTTACCAGCACAGTTCGTACAGTAACAGTCAACACGTCGCCAACACTGCTTACAGGGAGGAGAGGGGAGTCTACCAGCAGCAGCAGCAGCAGCAGCAGCAGCAGCTCAACAGCGCCCCCAGCTGTGAACCATCAGAAGTCAGCCAAAGACAGCATGAATTTAACACACAAACTGCCTCAAGTGGTTACAGTGGACCAACCAGCTGCATGAGTAACAGAACACACTTGGTGAGTCATTAATCTTTTCCATTCTTAAAATTCATATTATGACTCTTAAAAACTGAAACTGAAGTTTGACCCTCTGTCGTCATGGTTTCCCAGGTCTGTCCCATGAACACATCACCCTACGTGGACCCCCACAAGCCAAGCCAGGAGGTCTGGGAGGAGTTCTCCATGAGCTTCACCCCCGCCGTGCAGGAGGTGGTCGACTTCGCCAAGAGGATCCCGGGCTTCCGCGACCTCCCCGAGCACGACCAAGTGGGCCTGCTGAAAGCTGGAACTTTTGAGGTATGAGGGCAAAGAAGCCAAACATAAACACGTTGTGTTATTTTGTGCTCGCTTTGAAGCTGAGCGCGGCATATAGGAGCCGCTGAGGCGTTCCCAAACAGAGCACGCTGTCAGCTGTGTGTGCTGAAGAATATTTGCTCAGATAACAGATGAAATGGTTGTGAAAGAAAGTTTCACATCATAAAAGCAGAGTCAGATTGAGTTGTAAGAAACGACGCTTACAGTCAGTTTGATCTAAGAACTTATCACAAGATGTCTTTGTTCACCTGCAAATCAAACCATAGACTGATAATCTTCACGTCTCTCCACTCTCAGGTGCTGATGGTCCGATTTGCTTCTCTGTTCAATGTGGTTGAGCGGACGGTGACCTTCCTGAGCGGCAAGCGTTACAGCCTTGACACGCTACGGTCACTGGGTGCTGGTGAGCTGCTCAACTCCATGTGCGAGTTCAGCGAGAAGCTGGCCGCGCTGCGGCTCGACTCAGACGAAATGAGCCTCTTCACGGCCGTGGTGCTCGTCTCAGCCGGTAAGAACTCCTCAGAGTGAAGATGTTGTTTGTGAGCAGGGTGGAGAAGAAGAGGTCGTACAGTTGTACTTTTTATACCAGAACTTGTTCTATTATTACAAGTGATGTCATTACAAGGCTAAAATGAACCTCGAATATGTGATCTCTTCTATTTAAATTCATTTATATTTGCACAAATGGCATTTAAAATAAGTACTGTGATGTTTTTAAAAGCAAAATGTTCGTTCGTCCTGTCCTCCATCATTAACCCTTTCTCTCCTCTTTTCCTGGCTCAGACCGCTCAGGGATCCAGGACCTGAACTCAGTCGAGGCGCTGCAGGACAAACTGATCCGGGCGCTGCGAAACCTGGTGATGCAGAACCACGGCGAGGAGTCGGCCACCACCTTCACAAAGCTGCTGCTCAAGCTTCCCGAGCTGCGTTCACTCAACAACATGCACTCAGAGGAACTGCTCTCCTTCAAAGTGCACCCTTGAAAGCTTCCTGAGGGGGCACGCCTGTGCCCCTCCACCTTATCCACACGCCTCCACCTCCACCTCCACCAGGACCTGCCTCTTACTGCACCCTCACCCTCCGTGTTCGACCAACTCAGTTGCGTATTTGTTTATAGAATGTATTAAAAGTTATTTTTTATTCTATTTTTGTTAAGTAGACCGCGCGGGGTCTGGAGAGAGAAGAATATAAAACGTACTGTATTTATAGAAGAGATAGCTTGTTGCACACAAACACACGCAAGTGCATGTGTGTCAGAGGTTAGTTTTGCAAAGTTGGAGGCACTTTTCTATTTTTAAACAACGAAGAATACTTAACTGGCTTGATGAAAAGATAGAAAAACAATTGGTCGATCCAAAAGCCATTTAATTCCAAAGTGTATTCTCTGATGAGCGGGTGAATGTGAGAGACAGTATACACCTTACATACCTACCGCATGTTTGTTTGGTCCAATATTTTGACTGATACATGTCGGCGAGAAAGGCAAGCTATCAGAACATGTATGGAAGACTGTGTGACGACCGCTGTTAATGCATGGCTGTACTTATTACGAACAATTATTACTTGGATCTTCTCCCCTCGCCTCAGAAAGCATCAGTTCACAGTTTCAGTGTAAATACTGTTGTATGTTTTCTTTTTATTTAAGTTGTTTTTTATGTGTTTATATCGACTGCCTGTACACTGCCTGGTGATTTCTGGGGGAGTCGACAACACCATGTTCAGCAACACTACATTTGCACATGTAACACAACATGTATAGGCTACATGTAGTCACACTAGTGTTTTTGACCTTTTCCCACCTTTGTTTTGTTTTTTTAATCAGACTTTGTGTGCTCTCAGCATAGCACTGAATTTGATGTGTTTGTCATCCATTTTGTTAAAATATCTGTTTCTTCAACTGGCGACACTGCCATATGTAAATAAATATAT